TATATATATATATATATTTGCGTCCCATTTGTCTCGAAAAAAGAACGACAAATTGAACTAGCGAGCATGCTTCCAGAGCTGGAGAATCGAGAAATCGAGTAGAATCTATATGCATTATGGAGTACGATGCAAAAGATAGCGGAGCACAAGATGGTCACATTAATATTCCAACTACGTGAATTTATTTCTGCTCGGGGTGTAACTTAATCAACATTAAAAATGAAAAAGACCGTTTTTTCTTTTTTTTTTTTTTTTCCTCCGTCAATCTTCCGTAAAGAAAATGATCAACGGAAATAGGGAAGAGAAAAATTAAAGCACGAATTTGATCGAAAAACTATTGGCTATATAAATGTTTTCCTAAACTATTCGAGAAGTTTCTATGTGCTCGTATCAACCACGATCGATTACGAAAATACGACACAGAATGGAAATGTGTCGATACATATTTTAATACTGACCTATAGGACTGACCGCAAGGATTGCTACTGTATCGTGGAAATACTACGTACCGTTGACCTTTTCCAAATCGATTTCTTGACAAATGGAACAGAATTCTTCCTAGAGACAATAGTCTTTCCTTTTTTAATGAAACCGATCGAGGTTATATTCGAAGAAGAACAAATTCAAATCATAATTCAAATCATACGATCTTATTACTCCTTTATATTTATATTACTTTGTCAGATTTATATTCGAGTGAGATTTTGAAGTTGAAAATGAAGAGTTTTAGGAGGAATTAGATGATATGAGAATGAAGAATGAATAATAAAGAATAAAATGATATTAATTTACAAATTCCTGATGAAATTAATAGCTACGTTGAAATATTTTTTCAGATATGAATATCATTAATATATGAAGTATTATAGCTTGAACTATAAGACATTAAATATAAAATTTATTTTTAAGGTTTAATTTATTTTAAAAATAAAAAATAAAAAAAAATAAAAAATATCGTATTATTGCATAAAAAAAACAGAAAAATTGCAATTATTTTGAATAAGATTTCGATACTTGTGTCATAGCATCGATTAAGACGAAATAATATACAAGATAAAGAAATTGTTTATGGAAAATAATAGCGCGTAAGTTCAATATCTTGATCATGATGCGCCGACGCATATCATGTGAAGATATGATTGGCATACATGCATATGTAACACATTACGTCTACCGTTACATCATCTGTGGCATGTGTTCTCAGCAGCATGCAGTGCTAGCAACCGTGAAACGAAGGTCACGAAGTAGTTCACGTGACAATGACCTATCCTATTTGTCAAATTTTATCATTTTTCTCTAAATAATTACATATAACATTAATAATTAGTACAAAAATAATCAATAAATATAATAAAGGTATAATAAATAAAGGTAAATGATTTAAAAAAGAAAAAGAATTGAAAATAAATAATATTTGAATAATATGTGTTAAATTGTTATATTGTTAAATAATTTGATTGAAAAAAATGATAATTTCACATATAACGATTATATGTGTTATAATATTTTTATTCATAAATGTCTGTGCTTCGTTACCAATATTGTACAATAACAATTTAACGACTATATTTCAATTCATCATTTGAATCCGTAAATATAGTTCATACGATAGTGATTTATTGCTTGAGCATTTCGTGTTGCTCTCCATACACATATAACGTAGAATATATATAGCATGTATATATCTTATAACTGAATAAAATAACCACTCTGAAAACATTTCTCAATAAAAAGAGGTAAAATTATTTTTACCGAAATGAAAAAGCACTTAGAATTTTCTGGATTATTTAACAAAAGCATGTGTATATTTTGAATAGAATATAGAGAAATATTTTCAGATGCTTTTATATATTTTAAAAAAACAAAAACACAATTAATTATGTTTTATAATAAAAAAAAGAATATCTTCTAATAATCACCGATACATAAGTATCAATGTATTTTCTCGTACCTTCGAAACTCTCGCCGGATACATTCGGTTAATATAACGTTAACGAAATGTCTAGGGATCGATTTCAGGACGAAAACGTCGCTCCAAACAAATGTTTTGTAAACGCATAGGAGCCGTCGGCCAAAGACTTCTAAGTCCACAACGCGTCCGAGCACAGTGTTGCTATTATCTGGTTTGTTTCTCTCAATATCTCATAGGTCACCATATAAAGATGAAACTGCCCTTCAAGATAATCGTAGACAGAGAGCATCGCGACAACGCCTCGTCTCGCGCTGATAACGCGATGGAAATTATCGACCCCGGTTCACCGACGGGGGTTTGTTTTGAACGTGCATCCTCGCGCACAGCCGTCGCCA